CTCTGTCCACTATAACCTCCCCCCACGGGTGCCACCTTGCCATATACAACATCCTCCCTCAAGATGCTTTAACGTTGAAGCATCTTTGTACTTTCAATCCTATTGGTATCTGAGGGGTTTGGTTATGGTTCTCCCAGAGCGTGTAGTCATCTGACCTCCGAATCTCCCGTTGTCCTCCATTTGCCCCGATAGTCTGGACCGTGTAGGTGTCGATTGTTTGGCCGGTGTATCGTTTTGAACTGGATGATCAGGATCAGGTAATAGTGGGCTGCTTTCAGTTGAAGGGTCTGGTGCAGATGTTTTGGCTTTAACTCCCTCTTGTTGATTTTCCTCAGGCGGTGTGAGTTGTTCTGGGGTTTGGTTGAGATATGGCGCAGGAATTAGATTGAAGCGATTCCTTCTTACTATACTCATTGATGTCTGCACTAGATAGGATCGTTGATTCATTACTTTGACGATCTTTCCATGGCGTTTCAAATCTGTGATCCAAACAAACTCACCACACTGTAGCTGGCTCAGGTCCTTTGCTCCATGTCTTTTGTCGTAATGTATTTTGTATTGCCTTCTGTATCTTTCTTCAGCTTTGGCCAAATTTACCGGAGGTTTAACTCCCACATGCTGAATGGATGGGAGGTTGTCCCTCAATTTTCTGCCATACAGCATTTCCGCTGGACTAAATCCATTCCCTAATGGGGTATTGCGGTATGTTAGTAGGGCTAAAGCCAGATTATCCTTGTTTTTTTTTAATAGAGTTTTTGCGATCTTAACAGCGGCCTCTGCGGCACCATTCGCTTGATGGAATTGCGGGCTGCTTGAGGATGTGGAAAATCCCCAGTCTTTGGCAAAGATCTGAAATTCAGATGTCTGAATTCCGTGGAATTGTGTCCCGCTGTCTGAGCAGACAAGTTGTGGGATTCCATATCTTGCAAACGTAGTTTTGCAGATTTTAATTATGTCTGGCGCTCTCATTTTCCCTACTTGGTAGACTTCAAAGAATCTTGAGTAATGGTCAGTTATTACCAGGTACCATTTGTCGTCAAGTTTGAAGAGATCCAATGAAGCAACTTGCCAAGGGTAGTCGGGAAACTTTGAAGGCAGCAAAGGTTCATTGTGGTTTGTTGAGTGTTGTATGCAGATAGGGCAGGATTTTATTTTTGTTTCAATGTCTGAGGCAATTCCTGGCCACCACATACTACTTTGTGCTCGTCGTCGTGTTTTGGTGATACCTTGATGGCCAGCATGCAGCTTCTCCAACATGATGTGACGGAGCTCGTTTGGAATTATCATGCGGCTTCCTCTGAGTAAAATTCCGTCTACTACTGACATTTCATTGCGTACTGTGAAAAATGGTTTTATTTCTGGGGCTAGTTCTGAGATAGGGGGCCATTCCTCTTTGATGTATTGGATAAGTAGCTTGCATGTTGGATCCAAACTCTGTGAGTTGGCAACTCTTGTAATATTCTCGTCCGTAGTGGGGATGCCTGCAAGCACAACTGAGTGAATGTATGCATCGACTTCCTCTTCCAGTTCATTGTCGTCCTCAGATGGAATTGGTTTACGAGACAAAGCATCCGCAACGAAAAGATTTTTTCCGGGAGTATAAGTGATATTATAGTCATAACGCATCATACGCATCCTGAATCTTTGTAACCTTGGTGAGAGATCATCGAGGTTCCTTGTCTTAAAGATTTGCAGGAGCGGCTTATGGTCGGTTTCAATGGTGTATTGTTTTCCTAACAAAAAGTTTTTCAGTCGGTCGCTAGCCCAGGTCAATGCTAATGCCTCTCGCTCAATATTTGCATAATTTTTTTCAGCAGTGGACAAGGTCCTTGAAATATAAGCCACAGGTTTTTTGACTCCGGCTTCTTCTTGGAGTAATACGGCGCCCAGTCCTTTGGTTGATGAGTCACAAGACACGATTGTTGGTTTGTTTGGATCGAATATTGTTAGACAAGATGAAGATGTGAGTAAATCCTTGATTCTCTCAAAAGCAATTTGTTGAGATGGCCCCCATACAAACGCATTGTTTAAGCTTACCAAACTCGTGATTGGTGCCATGATCTCGCTACGTTTAGGGATGAACTTTGCTAAAAAGGTTACCATCCCCATGAAGCGTTGGACTTCCTTTATATCCTTGGGTGGTTCCATTTCTGTAATTGCTTTCACTTTGTTTGGATCAGGTGCTACGCCTTCTTGCGAAAGCACAAATCCTAGAAATTCAACCTTTTGTTTACAAAACTCCGTTTTCCCTTTATTTAGAGTTATCCCAGCTTTCTTGATTTTTTCTAGGACCCTCCTCAGATATTTGTCATGTTCTTCTTTTGTATTTCCCCAGACTAACACGTCGTCGATATGAATTAGGCAATTCTTTGCCCCTTCAAGGGCTCTTGTCATTCTTTTTTGGAATTCCTCTGGAGCTGATGTAATTCCAAATGGGAGTTTCTGAAATTTAAATCTCCCAAACGGTGTTATAAATGTTGTATAATCTTGGGAGTCTCTGGCCAGATTGAGTTGCCAGAATCCATGGTTGGCGTCAAGCTTGCTAAAGTATTTTGCTCCACTAAGTTCTGCCAACTGCAGCTCTATTCGTGGCATTGGATGGAACTGGCGTCTTACGTTTTTGTTTAGATGGGAGAGGTCAACACATATGCGTACCCCTCCATTCTTCTTAATGGTTACTACCATTGGTGCGCACCAATCTGTGGAGTGATCTACCGGGACAATAACTCCTTTGTTTAGCATGTCATCTAGAGCATCCTTTACTTGGTTTTTTAGTGAAATAGGGATGGCTCTTGGTGCTGATATGGCGTACGGTTCAGCGTTATTTTTTATTTCAATTTTGTATTCCCCTCCCAAGTTGCCTAAGCCTTTGAAAAGAGAAGTGTACTCCTGAAACCAGTCTGTGTCCGTGTTTATGGCATAAATTCGTTTTACAAGGTTCAGCCCTTGGCAACCTCCTCTGCTCAGTAGTGGCACATCAATTTCTTCGGATATATATGCATTCTCGGTTATTTTACTGTTTTTATATCTTAGCTTTAATGTCAGAGTACCCAATACTTTAAATTGTTCTTTGTTTTTAGCACTAAATACCTGGCTTCTTGGCGGTTTGATAGGCAATTCTGACATTATGTCTCTCACCAAACGAGCAGGTATCATAGTGACATCAGCTGCTGTGTCCAGTTTGAACATGATAGGCTTGAGGGGCAACCCATTACATTCCACATGTAATATCTGTGTCCATGTAGTTTGATTGTTATTGGTTCTAACTTCACTAATAAAAACGTCATCTTCGCCTTCCGAATCTATTTCTTGCTGTACCGTGCACACGTGTTTATTTGCCGGGTTTTTTCTTTTCTTACACATTTTGCTGAAGTGACCAATCAGTTTGCAGGCGTTACACTCTGCGTTTATTGCCGGGCAATTGGTCAGCCTGTCATGCCAGTCATACCCACATCTAATACATTTTCGCTGGTTTTCCAACTTTTTCTTGGATGTTGAATTATTTTGGCCTTTTGGATACATCTTGTTTGACAGATTTTTGTTTATTGCGGATATAGTGGGTTCCTGGAGAGCTTGTTTTTGACGTATGAGTTCTTCGTGTTGTCTTAAGCAAGTAATGGCTTTCTCTAGGGTCAATGCTGGGTCAAGTTGTAATTTGTCACTTATGTTAGTATCATTCATTCCAATGATGAGAACAAGCAGAATCATGTCGTCGTTTAGCGTTCCCCATTCACAGGTTTTCGCGAGGCTATGCAAATTGGTGATAAACTTTTCGGCTGAATCACTTCCTTGCGTCTGTTTTAAAAACTTAGCCCTCTCATAAATAATGTTCCTTCGAGGCAAGAAATAATCTTCGAATCGTTTTATCGCCTCCTCATAATTAGAGGGCGGTGGAGAAAATGATGAATAAATTTCCTCTGCTCTGTCTCCCATGTTATATATCAGAACGTCGATTTGTCGTTCTTCTGAGGCGGCGTTCAGTCCACTACCTCTCCGAAAC